CTTCCTCTGTGACTGTTCCGACCACTGGGAACGCGAAATCAGAGACCCTCCTTCGGACCATCTTTGTACGCTCGAGAGATATAGCTGGGAGGTGCTCGACAAGAAACGAGACTTTCTCTCCAAGCTAGACCGGGCTTTCATCAATTCGCTCGGGAAACAGCGCAAGTATACGGGAGACCGAATGTTGGATCTACTACGGGCCATGAGAAACAAGAAAAACCACTACGAGGATATGGACGAGGCGGTCAAAGCTAAGGTCGGATCGCTCCCTCAGGGATATCTTCAATATTGGACGATCAAATTCCCGAAGCTGATCATGTCCTGCTACGAGTGTGTGATGGAGTGTGGATTGCAGGGAGAGCCAAGATTCAGGCCGTATTTTGCGGGCCAGACTGGAGTCTGACGGGACTGTGGTGTATATGTCAGTTATTAGGTATTGTTTTGAGTATGTGTGTTGTATCGCATGTCAAGGCGCGCGGCGTCGCTATACACGTTGCATACCACAGGTAGCGTTGAAACATGACTGTTGGACAGCCCATCTTGCTCGAGATCTGACAGGTCCGCTGATCTATGATACTCCTGTTGATGCAATATCGTCACCGACTCCCACACTAGCTTCTTACATGAATCTGCCCCAACTCCGCTTTCGCCATGTCCGGGTTGTTGTCCAGCAACGTCCGAACCCGGTCCTCGAAGGCCTTGATCATGCTCTCGGCTACTTTTGGCGCCGCTCCCGCACTCAACGTTGTGTACATTGGGTTCGCAAACGCGTACTCCAGGGTCAAGGAAACTTCTGTCTTGTCCTCAGCCAAGGGCGCAAGCGTCCACCTGCTCTGCAGATGTGTCAAGAGCCCCGCAGTCGCATCGTCCTCCTCGCTGCCCCTACTAAGCCCTCCCTCGCCCTCCACGTGATGCCGTATACTCGCCTCGTCTAGCCCGGTCCTCGCACCCCCGCCTACACTCTCTACGATGCTCCCTGGCACGCAGAATATCCGGCTCGTGAACTCTTCTGTGAACCCTTTGAAACCGACCACGAGTTTTGCCTCGGACGGCCACTTCCGATGGTACTTGAAATCGGGCGCAGACCAGCGCGTCACGCTTGAGGATTGGCAGTAGGGCAGGAAGGAGGAGTAGGACGGCACGTCGGATATTATGGCGTAGATGGGGTGTGAGGCGTAGGGTAGGGTCCGGGTTGCGGTCAGCGTTTGCGGTTTCTTGGAGGCGGCGGATATGGCTTCGAGAGGATTTGAAGAGGAGAATGGGTTTGGGAGGAAGGTGCGTCGGGTCTGGAGAGGTGCGAGGTGTCGTGGGTTTGGGTGGTGGAGCTTGACGCGGAGGAGAGGGCAGAGGGTTTGCGGGAGCGCCATTGTGAATGGTGACAGAAGCAATTGGGGAGTCGTTGTTGTCGATGTTATCACGGAAGTAGCATAGTATGGGGGGACCGTAGAGCTGGCGTTACTGTGCCAGACAGTTGAAGCGTGGTTTCAAACATCAACACCTGAAGCTCCGCGGCGTGCAGCGGTGACGAAATCAATGCATGCACAAGGCCGGGAACGCTATGCTTCGTTGGGACGACTGCAGGGGCCCTGATCGATAATGCACCTAATTTTGAAATGCCCATGCAGCTTCCTCCCACCACCCGCACTGCTTCCAGACAAACTCATGGACGCACCAATGGAGCGCTTTCAGACCGACAATACCGTCTCTCAAAAGAAGCAGCCGCGGCAGCAACTCTCCAAAGCTATGGAACACATGCGCTTCGCCGTGACTGTTGATCCTGTACCGCACGCTACGCCATCGACCCCACCTATCCCAGATTCAATACCTCCCACAGACACAAAATCACCACCAGAAACCGACGCGTACGGCGTGCCCGCCTCCTACGAGCCCGTTCGCAATCCAGCCGCTCGCTCCCACTCACCCTCCAACAACCAAAAGCGCACAGATCCCTTCGCATTCGGCTCGCGGTACCTCGAACAAGGCGACGACATCTTCGAGTTCAACGCCTGGGACCACGTCGAAGTCGACCCCTCGTACCGCGAGTTTTCCGAGCAGCAATACGAAAAGCAGCGCGCCGATCCCGTCTCCGACTTCGACCGCAAGCGCTTCAACGACAACCCCGAGAAATGGTGGAACACCTTCTACAAGAACAACCGCACCAACTTCTTCAAGAACCGCAAGTGGCTGAGCCAGGAGTTTCCGGTCTTAGACGAGGTTACGAAGGGGAATGCCCCGCCGGCGACGGTGCTCGAGGTTGGTGCTGGGGCGGGAAATTCGGCGTTTCCCATTCTGCAGAAGAATAGGAATGAGGGGTTAAGATTGCATGCGTGTGATTTCTCGAAGAAGGCAGTAGAGCTGATACGGGGCCACGAACTTTACGATGAGAAGTTTATACGAGCGGATGTGTGGGATGTGGCTGCGAGCGAGGATAGTGAGAATGGTGGACTGCCACCAGGGATCGAGGAGGGGAGTGTGGATGTTGTGCTCATGATTTTCATTTTCTCGGCATTAAATCCCAAGCAGTGGAATCAAGCCGTGAGAAATATCTGGAGAGTGTTGAAGCCTGGAGGTCAAGTCCTATTCCGCGATTACGGACGAGGGGACTTGGCGCAGGTTAGGTTCAAGAAAGGGAGGTGGATGGAAGAAAATTTCTACGTGCGGGGGGACGGGACGAGGGTGTACTTTTTCGAGCAGAAAGAATTGGAGAGGATATGGGGAGGGGAGGAAGTAGCGAAGGATGTCCCAGTGGAGCAGCCGCAGGTAGAAGGACAAGAGGAGGTTGCTGCTGATGTTGAAAAGCTCAGCTTGGAGGACCAGAACAAGCAGGGGCTTGACGAAGAATCGTCTCCGCTCTTCGAAGTCGCACATTTTGGTATCGACAGGAGAATGCTCGTCAATCGCCAGCGGAGGCTGAAAATGTACCGTTGTTGGATGCAAGCCGTGTTCCGGAAACCTGGTTCTGCGAGCGAAGTTCCGACGAGCACGATACGGCAAGACAAAGATGCGACTGAGACTGAGGAGACATGATGGAGCGCTTGTTTTTCCCCTTTTCAGATACCAAGATCTAGGTAGCCCAGGTCGAGACGCTTAGAATTCTGCGAGGAGAGCATCAAACAAAAGTCTGATATGAGGAAGTGCATTCCTCGTTTTGCCATTTAGACCGTAAAATATCGATAACGACCCAACGCATGTAGTGGTCCAGAAAAGGACGAACCGAGACAGTACCTACCAGGATAGGGTGATGTTAGCAGGAGATACTCATGGATATATGTCCTAGGGTAGACTGTAGCTGTTGATCAATTAGTCAGGCTAAGGTTTTACAGCACAAGGACCTCGATCTGATGAGGCCTAGCCTTCATTCCTCGACAGTGCACTTGTTCGCCCTGTACAACTGAAGATACCTTCTGCTCTTTGTCTCTGATGCCAAACTTCAAGGACTTCGCTGCAAACGTCGTGTCTCAAGATCGAACAATTCTTTGTTCCGAGCGTTCGCATTCTCTTAAAGGTCATCCCCAGATCTTACAGGTATGTCTCAGCTCAGAATAGCACTGCATTTCCAGACCTCGTCTTGTCCTGTCTTGTCTCATCTCGCCTATAGACAGACTCGTTCACCATGGCCAATTTCAAAGGTGGCGCCGTGCCCATCCCCCGCTGGATCCTCGGCATCCGCGCCCTCCAGCTCTTCTTCGCAATCCTGGTCCTAGCGCTGACAGCCTATGCGCTCTCAGTCTTCTCCGGTGGCCCGGTATGTTACTCCTTCCAGCCTCGTGACTGTCCGACTAAGACCCACCAGCTGCAGCCGCCGCTGATAGCAACGATCATCATCGCCGTCCTGACCCTTGTCCCAATCTTGCTACTCACGACCCCGCTGCATCTCATGCAACGCAGGATCTATGACCCACGGATTGCGCTGGTGTTGGATGGGTTTGCGCTGTTGTATTGGCTTGCGGCGTTCACGGCTATGGCTTGTTATCATGACATCTTCCATTACTACGGGAGTAGCTATGCGGTCTTTGCGGTGAACTCGGATGTGGTGCAGTGTCGCAGTTGTCGGAGGGCGTGGAAGGCTGGAGTGGCTGCAACGGTGTTCTCGGCGATTGAGTTGTGAGTAATCCTCCTTGAAGCCGCGTACTATCTTGCCTTCCCGCAAATGACAGCTAACATTGAATGCATGGCTACAGTCTACTCTTCCTCTTCAGCACTCTCACGTTCATATACTACTACCATTTCCACCTCTCGGGCGTGACAGCGCCGGGCATTGGAAGTCGCGGAGCGGGCCATGCTGGAGCTGGAGTTGCGGAGACTGGTGTAGGGACTGGTGTAGGTACCACAGGTGCGGCGACTGCGGGAGCAAGTGAGGCTACGGCTGGACATCATGGCGAGAGTCATCAGATGGAGACTCTACCACAGCAGTCGACGCATACGGGTGTTGGGCATACTGGTCCAGGGTACACCGGGCCAGGACACACAGGAGCAGTTGGTCAAAGTACCGGAACGCAGAACGATCTTCCATATCCGACGACTCCGCACAGGACGGGCGCATATGATAATGGGTCGAACGCTGCTCTCGGATCGGAAATCCGATGAGTTCGAGGGGTTGTTATTACTTTTGGAGGGCATACGCTTGTTTTCTTCCTCCCTTTGATACCCCTAGTTGTAATAGTAGTCTACAATATCGAAAGCATAGAGCCCAAATCCATCGCCTTACTTTGAATGGTGATGTGCTCAGATCAAAAGTGTCCGAACACAGAGGGTGAGGTTACGTGCTTTGCGAAATGTCGTGTTCAACGCGAGCATGCATGGTGTTGCTATAATTAGCCCCTGACACACGCCATCCGCAAAGTTTTCCACCGCCAAACCCCGCACCCGTCCAACCACGTTGTCACCGCAATTTGACACCTGAAATCCTCTCGCCGCTCTCTTTATCCACACTGTCCTGTTTTAAATATGTCTATATATTTATCATATGTATCCAAAATTTTCACAAATCAATACAGCTCGGTTGTATAGTGTAGCGGTTATCACATCGGATTCTGAGCAGCCTCTGGCGTTCACGAATGTTCCGGGAACCCCGGTTCGAGTAAGTCTTTCCGATCATCCTCTCAGACGCGCTTGCTGATCAAATTAGGTCCGGGTACGACCTCAATCATCTATCTTTTTTGCGGTTTTTTTGTCCTGGGTGCATCACCTACATCGAAGCTTAGTCAAGCCTAGCAGAATGAATATGATCCCGATATCACCCTTTCGCGGCCATACTCAGAGAACCTCCTTTTACACCCGGACCATGGTACCAGCAACACCCAAGATCCAAGACATATCCAAGCCTTATACGGGCTCAGTAGCGAGGTGGACTGGAAAGACCTCATACAGGACCAATGGATGGCTCGAAGTAGGCAATTTGAAGAGGATGCTACCGCTCTTTGTGCAAGAACTACGAGGAGCGGGGTATATATTGAGTTATATTGCAGCCAGGAGCTAAAAGGCTTTCTTGGCCTTTAGTATCCTCTATATTGCATCTCAGAATGCGGTTCACAACATCAAGGAAAGCCTCTTGGATATAGTTCAATTGATCCTGACTCCTCGTATTGCTTCTGCTCAACCAACAGTTATATCGGTAATGCCAGTCAAACTCGATCGCGAGATAGTTGCCCAGTTAGGCAATACAGCAAAAAGTGGATCAGCACACGGCGCTCACGGTATGAAAACAGACTCGGCCTTGCACAAGTTATCTGTCCACGAACTATGCGATCGTCATCAAGACTTCCAGAGAGCACACCATGGTTCCTATCCCACTGAACATCCTAGATTCACATCCGGTGGCACTATGCAAATGGAAGAATACTGATGGAGTCTTTATGTACCGCCAGCTGCAGATGAAGAGCTGGGCAGAGCAAGGTGTACGGAGTAACGGGTTATTCAGGAACTCATACAGTGTGTACAACCTGAATCCATTTTGAGGACTCTCCCGTCCTTCGCGTCTCGGATGCTCGACTCCTCAAAGCGATGGAGTGTGTTTTGCCGCGCGTGTACTTTTCTGAATGGTACATTCGCTTCCTGAGAGAGGGCCCGGTTCACAGAGGAATTCGGAGACCGGAGCTCGTAGCATACAAGGAGCGCGTATCTACTCAGTCACGAACCAGCCAACACCCAAGAGGCTTCATCGGCCTTTGTCAACCCCTATAGTGCACCATAACTTTCGTTTTACAACGTTGGCGTGAGCCTAATGGATTCATATCCATTGACCTTTCTCCAACCAAGCTGCTTTGATATAGCTAGCTCCGAATGCTCATACAAACGCAACGTTCTTCAACATGCTCGGCCTCTCCTTCTTTGAGAAGCTCCTTTCCAGCGACAACAAACGCAGCCCGAAATTTCCACACCTTGATGATCAAGCTCCCGGAATCTCGGCTCTGTTGCTGTGCCCCCAGTTCTAGCACCCTTTTTCTGATCGCGCGGTATCTCGGTCGTCAGCAGTCCCATCACGACCTCATCCCACAGGAAAGAGAATCTTCTACATGAGGTGGGCATCATTCAAGACGGGTCGCAGTTTGCGCTCTGAAATTGGCAGAACTCTTTCCTTACCGATGGACAGTAGATTTTGCGCTGGCCTGGAGACTTCGGCGACAAAGAGAGGACAGTACTGCGGGACTTCGTGGGCGCGTATCTGGACAGCCATGACACTGCCTTGGCTTGGTCGACGCAATAGAACACTCAAGACTCGGTAGTCGAGGATATACTATCGTCAAACCACTTTTCATGGCGCCTTGGTAAGCGCTACATCTCTTTCCCAGATATGTACTGATACTTCTCAAGAGCAAGCAAGGACCAGATCCGTAATTCGTGCAGTCTTTGAGGAGGTTCGAAAGGACCGTATGAGACTGACCAAACGCCACGAGAGAGGATTGAAGAGACCGAAGAAGACGACAACTGACAGTGACTGGTCAGACGAAAATACCTCCCAGAAGACTGTGTCCAGCGCGACCCCTTTCCGCAAGAAGAGACTTTGGGTGCTCGACTCGGAGGACGATGATGACGATCAGAAAGCCGTGGCGGTCGCAAATTCTTCCAGCAAAAAGAGACCGCTGGTACTGGACACGGATGAGGATGGTGACTGAGATGCTGGTGTGGACAAAGCTCTTCCCGGTAGAAAGAACATTCGCGACGAGTACTGCAGTTGATCAAGCGCGTGCGTCCAAGATCGTTAGCGAGTCACAACTGCGGATTCCTCACAAAACGACAGCTGGCAGCCTGACAACATGCCGAACTGACCTTCCAACTATCAGAGATATGCAAACTGATGATCTTCGATTGTCTACGTATCGTTTGCATGTCTTCACGTCAAGACCTTTTCCGCCCATACTACTGGCCTGCAATGCGATCCCCTTCACTGTCGTTTCCCGCAATGTCACCCGAAGCCCTCCCGAACGCCACTTTTCGCTTGACATTGAGACTGCTTATACGCTCCGTGGGTTGTTTTCTTTGGCGACACGACGTGTTATGAAGTCTCCCCTATGCCGAATCAATTGATCTGGGAAGAAAATTAAGCTAACATACACATGTGCCCATAGAATACCTGGAAGGATCGAGAGATACGGTGAAATGCGCAGCGGGCCAATCGTACGAAGGAGCTAGGCAGCTTTATCTACCGTTGTTATACACTATATGGGTCTCATTATAAGGTATAACGAAGCTCGTTTGAGCCTATTGGGTGCGAGCTGTATGTGCGTGTCAAGTGTTGATTGTTCCTCACTAAGCACAGCTCCTTTGTTCGAGCTAGTCACAGACCGGCACGTCAGCCAATAGAGTATTTGCAGAAACATTCAGGGCATAATGGCAGGCCTTGTTTCCTAGCAATACAACTTTTGCTGGGTTCAGGTCAATAAGGTTACTCGGCTGAACCGCAGTCGGGACAGCCATACCCATTCCCTAGTTAGTGCGAATGAGACAGTGGAGCCTCTTTCTTAGTCCATCACTATTACATTTGAAAGAAATACAACCAGAAATCAAAACGATCAATCCTACACGTAACTATAAGTCAGATGTATTATGGCTTGCGCCCGACTCTCTTTCAGTAATCTTGAATGCCCCAGATACCCATACTCCACCAAGAAGACGCCAAACACTCGCCCTGCAGACCAAAGCCACCTTTACGCCCATAGACCATCGCCGCTAACAGAACGCAGCCAAGAACACAAACCGAGACTTTTCACACTCGCCATATTGTTGACCACCTTTACTTCCTCGGCCTCCCTCTACCCCGCTTCGCACCATTCGCCTGGCCCGAGACAGCCTCCGCATCAGACTGACCCTGCGGGACACTTTCTTGAGCGCTGGCCCCGGCCCTATGCTCCCTCCCACCAAGCAACCTCTCCAGATCCGCCAGTCCAGCCCCACGCCTCCTCTTCTTCCTCTCCTCATCCTTCTCCGCAAACGCCAACCCCATCAAGGCTCGTTTCTCCTCCTGGATTCCCAATACCCTCTCCTCGACGCTGTCCTGCACGACCAACCTCTATACCTTGGTCTCCCTCTTCTGTCCAAGTCGATGCACTCGGTCAACAGCTTGGTCTTCTATCGCCGGTGCCCACCAACTGTCCGCCATGATGACGTGATTAGCTGCAACCAGGTTCAAGCCTACGCTGCATACGGAAAGGGAGGCGAGAAGGATGGTGGTAGAAGCATCAGTGTCGAAGAGGTGGAGCGCGGTGTCACGGGAAGTGGCGCTCATACTGCCATCTATGCGTGTAATCTTGAAGCCCGCGGAGAGGAGATGTGGGGTGAGAATGTCTAGGAAACTTGTCCATTGGGAAAAGATGACTGTTTTCGTGGTTGGATCTTTGTGGCTTGCTTGGAGAATGGAGAGCATGGCCTGAACTTTGCTTGAAGAGTTCTGCTCCAGCGACTGTTTATCCTTGACCTGGTCTTCTGTGGGCATGGCATTGGGTGCTGGAGGGGCTTCCTTTGCTGGTTGCACTGTAGTTGTGGCAAAAGACTCCAGCTCCGCTCGGCACATGGGGCATTTGTGCTGAGTGTCGATTACGCGCTCAATACAAGCTGTACAGAAAATATGCGCGCATGTGGTGATTATCGGATCCCGCAGTGAGTCGAGGCATATCGGACAGTCTTCTTGTGAGTCGATTGATAGCTGCAACATTTTTTGCAGAGCGGCTTTATTCTCTTCCGTCAGGTCCACCACGCCTTCGGCCGCGAGTTGCTGGAGGACGGCCTCAAGACGCTCGTCGCCAACGAGCTTCCAGTGGTTGCAGAGCTGACGCATACGCAGCAATACCTCGAGGAGGTGGCGATATGTATCGGCGGAGTGGGCGTGTTTGTTGAGGTTAGATCGGTACATGTCGAGCGTGCCTTTGGCTTGGGCCTCAAGAGCTTCATACTTCTCCTGCTCATGTGGGAGAAGGGTAACCTATGGAGAAAGGGGTGAAATCAGTGGGGCTCTCTCCCGAAAAACCTAATCCATGTGGCAATGAAATGGAGCTTACGTACCTTGTGCACATATTCGGAGAGTTCAGGTAGGCGGAGATCGATGAAGGACATCTCCTTCTTGCGGCGAAGACACATGTTACCCATCAGAAGCTGCAGGGCTTTGTTACCTTGAGGATCACCTTGGGTAACAGGCCGGATGAGTGCTCCGTGGAAGATCTCTAGTTTATTCAGTCCCCCCGAGAGACCGAGAAACCGAACGAGCGAGAAGAGATCCTTCAAATTGTTGATGATTGGTGTTCCCGTCAGGACCCAGCGGGATTGCGCGAGGAGACTGGTGACTGCAACAGTCTTCTTGGCTTTCGGATTGCGGATATTGTGTCCCTCGTCGAGGATGATACGGCGCCATTTGATGCTGAAGACTCCTGATTTTCGAGGTAGTGTGGTACTCTTTTGTGCATGCCACTCAGAAGAGACACTGTCGTACGTGCTGATAACGACATCGTACTTTTTAATCTCCTTCGGGGTTATCGGCTGCTTTCTGGTCCTATGGTAGAACATTACACGTAAAGCATGCTTCTCCTTGATGTGCTTCTCCATTTGGGTGCTCCAATTACTCATCACCGAAACGGGGGCAAGAATAAGTGT